TGTTTAGCTAAAATAGAGCCTTGTGAGGAATTTAGAAAAAAAAAAATCTTTATAAAATAAAGGCAAATGAAAGATTACATACTAAGAAACAAATTCTCAGAACCAAAGATAGCCTGACCAGGGTGGATAATTCATGTCAGGGGAGATTTAGCAGCTTGGTGGAAGTGGAATCAGAGTAATAAAAGAAACAGAGAGGTGGAAAATCTTTCATTTCTAACAGGTGAATAATCAAAATATTCATAACCACCCTATAGATGCATATCATAGCAGGTGGCAGAAAAACACGATGTATTCAGATGTAAATTATTACTGTATACACTTTATTGATTGTTTCATGGAATCCTTTAGGTTGGAAGAGACCTTTAAGATCAAGTCCAACTATCAAGCCAACACTACTAAGTCCTCTGCAAAAACAGAATCAGAATCAGAATCAGAATCAGAATCTGTCAGGGCTGGAAGGGACCACAAGGATCACTCAGTTCCAACCCCTCTGCCATGAGCAGGGACACCTCCCACTAGATCAGGCTGCCCAGAGCCTCGTCCAGCCTGGCCTTAAAGACCCCCAGGGATGGGGCCTCAACCACCTCCCTGGGCAACCCATTCCAGGGTCTCACCACTCTCATTGTGAAGAACATCTTCCTCACCTCCAGTCCGAATCTACCCACTTCCAGCTTTGCCCCATTCCCCCTAGTCCTGTTACTAACTGATATCTTAAAAAGTCCCTCATAAAAACGTTTCATAAGGTTAAATTGCAGATACTTAGTTTTCAGATGAGTTCTGCATATGTAACAGAAAGGAATTTTTTTTTTAGGCAAAAAGTGTAAGATCTCATTGCCCTAATAAGAGGAAAATGTGTAGAAGCAGCATGTGGCTTGGCAGAATGGCTGGCTTCAGCACCAGGCAGGGCTTTCCAGCACTTTCACTTCACTTTCTGCACGACAGCATGCTATGGTGCATTTCAGGGGTCGCCAGCGTGTTCAGAGCTGAAACCAGATATAAGCACTGTTACCACCTACTAGAAGCTGGAAATAGAAAATTCACCAAAAACTCTTTCCTACAGCTTTTGACATTTTTCATTGCCCAGTGCTCATTTTATAGGTATTCCTTGGCCTTTTCCTCAAACCCATAATTTATACTTTAAAAAAAGGGCAATTTTTTTACAAATCCTTCAAGAATTTGTGGAAGAATTCTGGATTCCCTTATTTTTCCAATGGAAATCTGTCCTAGGCATTGTTTTGCTGAACCACAAAATTAGGACCATCTAGGAATGGCACGCTCAGGCACCAGCTGGGAGGAGTGAGGCAAGTGTGAGAGCTCCACAGTGCATTTCAGCAGGCTCCCACCTGAGAGCCACACACGGTCGTTGCACACCACAGAGGGTGCAAACAGAAAGCAAACAAAAATGGGATATTCAGAATAATGCAGACAGACAAAAAGGGAATGCTGTTTGCATGGTGGCATAGTCGGTCTATGAACATATCCACTTATTACCCACCCTCCTGGGCAGACATCTTGTATTTTTGCACATGAACTCATGCTCTAGTCTTTCACCTGAAACTACATTTCATGGTTAGTCTCATGTTTGTATTTACGTATCTGTGCCATAAACCCTAAAGAACTATAACATTACAAGAAATATTTGCCACATCATTGACAGCAGTAACTGAGCGAAGAATTGCCAAGTGGGAAATCCAAATTTGCAAACTCAGTATTCTGGGATGCATGCCAAGACTGTCTGGGCGCTGCAGAGGTGACACGTTCAGTCTCCTCACAGCGATGCCAATGTGCCAACTGCATCCCTGGCACAGCATCTTCTCCTGACAAGCTTATGGAGAAGAACTGCTACCAAGTCCAGAGGGATATTCAAGCTGCTTTCTGAGCTTCCTTGGCAACAACTCCATTTTCAAGTTGTGACTATACTTTCTCCTATTTACAAGAACAGTTGTTTGTGATACACTGCGGCCTCTGGTAAGATTTTAAAAAGTGCAAAAATGACTGCAGGGTGTTGGTTTCCAAGTATCAGCTAGTAAAATCCAGGGTAACATCATTTCTCTAAGAAAGGAAATAATATAGATACTCATTTACTGCTGCCCAGATGCCAAACATTGTCGCCAGTGTGGGAGAATCCAAATCCATTTGTTAGCTGTCAGATGAAAGAGATGGACCTTAGAATATGAAAGTGGTAGGGCTGATCTCTCAGGCGTCCCCTTTTCAATTTGTACTTTGTACCTATTGTCTCAGAGCTAACCTTCTTTTCTGACTGTCAGTAATTTTTCAAAGCAAAAGAGAAAAACATGAAAAATTCTCCAGTCTTCCACATGGAAGCGTGACCTATAACTTGCAAAATCCATTAGAAGACAGCCTTTTAGTAACCAAATTGTGTCATTTACAACTGCACAGCAGCCAGAAAGAGCACCATAAGTTACGATTCTGTCACTATAGCGGACAACGGAAAGGTGTGGGCAGGATATCACTATAAAGGAGGAAACCTAGAAGAGTGACAGAATCTAATTTGAATCATTTTTGCCAAGTTTACTTCATATAATAGCAAAAATGTTACTTACAGGTTCATTATTTCTTTTGTCTGTATATAATTTAGACTACAGAAGATTGTTTTTAAGGTGTAGCAGCATAAAAATATTGTGTTCAAACCTTTTGGCTTTTTTTTTCTTCTTCATACTTGAAGTAAAGAGAAGCATGTATGATTGTGTTTAACATTTTTAGTTAAAATTTGTCACAGAATTTAATAATTCAGAAATAGTGTTTTTCTTTATATTCGTTTGAAAACTGATCTCCTGTTGGGGCTTGAGCAATGATTGGTGCCTGGGAAATTGGTGAAATAATGTCATCATGGGGAGAAGAGGAAAGACTGTTACTCAGATGCTGTGGTTTTATGTGGTTACTCTTTCTCTTTAATAAGCAGTTAATTATTTGTAGAAATGTTGTCTTGTTAAAAATTCTCAACATTTTTTCCCTAAAGTCTAAAAACTAGCAGCCTGCATCCCTAAGTACTTCCTATAGGTTTTTGCAGGGAATCTAAAGCCAGTATTCTTAAGGATATTTCTAAAGGAAAAACAAAACAAAGAAAAACAACTCTCCTCCTAACTTTAAAAACCTGTTATACATTTATCATAAGGAAATCATAGAAAGAACAGAAGCCTAATTTAAAAAAAAAAAAGCAGGCTACTTAAAGTATCTGTAAAATTGTCTCAGAAATTAACATTTCCGCTTTGTATTTCCAACAATCTGAAATGGGACAGTGAAGCTAACTAGCTGAGCAATTGCTACTAGAAAAATCAAATACATAAGAGGAAATGTAGTTAACACAATATTTCACATATGTTAATGCTTAGAGTTCCATCAATGTCAGCTTTATTTTCTACTTGATGTACACCAAAGCTGGCACACAATTCTAACTGATGAGGTAATGTCATTTTTAATTTAAGGAGCCTTAAGCCGTCCACTTTAACTAGTGATATCATCTTTGCAGTTGTCTCATGGGACTTCATGTAAACATAAGTAATGTGCCCTGGACAGTTTGGAGCAGAGTTGTTAAAAATTACATTGGTCATCATGAAGATATTTTTTTGCCTTTCATCTCCTTAAAAATGCCAGCCACACTTTATTGTCCTGTCATTTTTAGCTCTTCCTGGTATATTAATATGCTTGGAACATATCAGTGAACATAACAGTAGAATAAAGGTCTAAACAAATTAATGGCAACATTTTGATGTTGGTCGCAGTAGGATAATGAAAAGTAAATGAGATTGTCTGGCTAACAGCAACTTGCTAAACAGAATGGCAGCACCGCTGAAACACAAAGACACAGGGGCACAGTCACAAAAGAGACCCTGAGCACAACACAGGCTCCAAGTGCCACCACCTTTTAGCAGAAGATTAAACTTAATTCTACAGGTTGTGTCTGCTCCTCCCTCCTGTCCAGGGTCAAGTGAAATCATCTGCTAATAAAACTTAAAACCAGCCTGTCTCCACACCTGAAGCTTCTGCCTCCCCATGACTTTTATTCTCATTTGTATTCTCTTGGCTGGCTCAGTGCACCAAGCTGCTGGGCTCTCCTCAGCCCTCTGAAGCCAAATCCGTCAGAACAAGGCCTATGCATTGACATCTCTGGTGACAGGGTTGAGGAACCTGAACATGACTGTTGCTCCCAGGCAAACTTTTACTGCCAATCATTATTGCATTACTATAAGCTTTTCCTTCTAAAGTCGTTAGGAATGAAGCAAGTAATGAGGGGAGGATTTAGCCCAGCCTGATCAGTAATCACATGCAGTACAAGTATGAATATTGCAACATGCACTTCTTGATTCAAATACCTGAGCACAGATGATTTATAATGAAACAAGTTTTGTCTGAGAAAAAACAAGTGCTGTGACTGACATGTGGATTTTGTGATTTGCTCCAAACTATTTGTCCAGCTAACAAGGAAAGTAACAGATTTTTGTACCAATCATCTGTAACATGGTAGAGTTTAGAACAAAATCTAATATTTAGGGATTTATTTATTATTCTGTGGACATATGTTTGGAGGACAGCATATGGAAATCAAGGTATTGTTCATAAAGAGCTCCAGCCAAAAAGACATTTTTGAATTCATAAAAGAACTTCACAGTTTGAAAAGAATGCTATGCATTATGTATTGATAACAACACTACACAGACAAAGGAACACAATTTAATAATACAGAATTGTGCTCATGAGATTTCCTTTTTTTTTTTTGTTAATTGGTTACTTTAGCTGACATTGTCTGCAAGCATAATGGACACCATTCTTCCTAATAGTTCCATGTTGCCAGATGATGTCTACAGACATAATGTAGTCCATTTTAATTATTTCATTTTGCTTACATCTTTCAGCATAATGCATTTTCCAAGCAAGCTAGCATTTTTCTTGATTATCTATGTTGTGTTATGGTTTCTAAATTAATTAAGTCTCCTTCTTTCCTGGAAGTTAAAAGTTTCTTCCTTCCATTTATCTACCAGGTATGATTATGTTGAAGTGATTGATGGAGATAATGCTGAAGGACGCTTATGGGGAAAGTACTGTGGAAAAATTGCTCCCCCTCCTTTAGTGTCTTCAGGACCATATCTTTTTATTAAATTTGTTTCCGACTATGAGACACATGGAGCAGGATTTTCTATCCGTTATGAAGTTTTCAAAAGAGGTGAGAAAGTTCATTCATAACCTGTGACTTTTGCTTGCATCAAAAATTTCTCTGTAATTCTTTGAAATTGGGGGAATGCATGAAAATGCTTGAAAAAAAAATAATTGTATTACCCTTGTCATTCCAAGGTGGGGCATGTATTCAATGGGTGTAGATCATTATAAATCCAATGGGTCAGCTGCATCTGAGAATTGAGTCCTCTGGGTGTAATGTGATAGTCTTCATCAGCTGTTTGTTTCAACCATCTTAAATCCATTAGCTTTCTTCCTTTTTTTTTTTTTTTTGTGATAATAATTACTGTATGATTTACAATGTTACTGCCTTAACAGCACTGTAACTTTCTGAGTCCCTGACTTATTTTGGTTAGTGTTTTGCTTTGCATTCCCAAGAGATGGCTGTGGGCCCGGAAAGGACCAGAGTACACATGGGCAGCAGATGATGTTGCTATTGCTTTCACAGATCATGTTTGGGAGGTAAGGGAGAGGAGGAGCTCACACCGTTCACAGGCATGACCTTCTGGATGCTTCTGCCAAGAGTTAGTTCAGTGCTGGTGAGCACAGACAGCTACACAGGGCACAGAGAAAGCCTAGAGACCAGGCCAGACTTACAGACAGACCCTCTTTGATAACTCTGAGTCAATAGCTAGAAAGGCGGTAAGATAATTTTTTTTTCTGGCACACACCTTCCCTGTAGCTGGATGGAGAAAAATAATGAATATATTCCATGCCTGGAGAATACAGGACCAAAACTCAAAACGTATGAAAAGACAATAAGCTTAACTTTACAGATAAAAAAAAAATATTGACTTCAACATCAATATTTAGGGTCATATTCACAAAAGCAGTTCAAAACTTCAAATTCCCAATGTGCACCACTCCCAGATAGTGCCCCACTTTCAGAACCAGTTCAAGTCCCTTTCACACACCTAAATCAGAGCCAGATTTTCAGCTGTGTTCAGCACACACACTTGGTGGCAGCTGTACTGTAAAAAAGGAGAAGCACAGTCATGAAATCTCTTTTCTATCGCATGCTATTGCTGCTCTGCACAGTGCTAATTGGGGCCACAGACCTCTTGTTCACCATCTTCCTTGTCTGTAAATCCACTCTTGGCTCCCAGAAATTCTTTTGGTGACCTTCGGGGTCACATTTTTTGAAAGAACTCAGCATCCAAATGACACCAAGCTTTCCTGAAAAAGTATCTCTTTTTTATTTTGGTGTCTTTAGGAGGCTAACCTCTTGAAACTGTGTCCTGAAGTTTCTCAGTGCTTATATATATATATATAGTACCATCTTTCATAAAGAACAAGGCTGAAATGCAAGAAGTAAACAAATGACCTGTGTGTGAAACAGTCCATTTTAGCAACAGAGCATTTTCAAGAAAATAGTTTATATTTATTTCCTAATAATATAGTGGCAACTCAGAGCTCTGACATGAATGTTGTGTTTATTTCCTTGTGTGGTCATTTACATCTCTCAATGATATACATTAACTGTGTTAAGATGGCATTATGAATGTGATTTTACACATACAGAAGTCAAGACACTCAAAATTATGACTCCCAGAGCAACTTTAACTCTAGTTCATTCCCCATAAACTGTATATTAAGACAAGAAAGTTATCACCAGGTAGAGTGTTAGAAAATGCTGTGTGTACACAAAAGGTACAAGTTATAGTTGCTGTGGGAACACAGCCTTTCCTATCTTTTGAGTTAATGCATGTATGCAAGTCCAAATTTACATTTTAATATCCGTACCAAATAAAGCTGACCAGTTCACCATGTTAGGCAGGTGATTAGGACCAGATTAATATGCTTCCTTTTAGCATATTCACAACTTAACTCAACATTTCCCAGGTATGAGAAGTATTAAATGATCCCATGCCCAAGGTTATGTGCTGCTCAGCTGAAGGTTGAGTGCATTCCAGCACACAGCATGTTTTTGTCCATTATTATTGGGAGAGCATCCTTAGCTTTTGAAAAAAAAAAACAGCATTAAGTTGCCTGTGTCCTAAGCTGAATTCTAAACCCGGTACTTAAAATGCCACATGCCATGGAAATCATAAAGAGAGACCAGCACATGTAATGACTTTGGTAAATGAAGTATGGGCTTTGAGAGTAGGAGCTGCCTTTACTTCTCATCCGGTTCCTTAGCCAGAAAGACACTGAAGAATTAAATTCCAGACTAAAACGTGAAGTCCATATTGCCTGACTTTTAGCTCGTCTGAAACATTCACCGTTTTGGCAGCCAGCCTGTCCTAGGGTGGATGAGTGGCCTACTCACTACAAGAGGATCCACATGGTTCACATTCTACATTCCTAACTTTAGTTGACTAAATTTATGGTGCAAAGGGAAACAAAAGACGGTGTCAACCAAGAAGACAAATTATTTTCTGGCTCAGTGACATCTACAGAGAGCAGATTCTGTCATCTCCAATGTCATCTCTTTCTCTTTCTTTGCTCTCTCTATTGCCTTCTCTCCCTCTCTTTCCTTCAGCTCATATCTCTCCGCATGTAGATGTGAGATGCATACATGTAGTCTCTCCACCTCAGAAGTATCTGTTCTTTCTGGTCTCTGCTAGAAACTTTTCTGCCAGTTTTCTGTGAAGAGCACCCCATGGAGTTCCTTGTAACCTCAGTGTTGATTTAATTTCTGGAGCATCTTCACGGTGTCAATAAAGGGTCAAAATCTGTGGAGGGCATTTTAGTGAGGCAGCTCTTCTGAAAACAGTTTTTGTTTCTTGCACCAGATTGATTTGAACATGTTTAAACTAAAGCAAGCTGGTACTGAGATACCATGTGTGAGTGTAAGGAGCCTGATGATTGTGAACTCACAGAGTCAGGATCTGGCTGTATTTAATAAAGCAATAATGATTCTGGCTTACATTTTATATTGCATCTTTTATTGGATTCCAAGAGTAGTACAGAGCACTTTATGCTATGAATGGCAGAGCAAAGCTATTTTATCCTGGAACAGCAGCTACTGGTGGGAGTGAGGAGCAACAATCAGAATATAACCCTCCCATACATGACAAGGAGACAAGGGAATGACAGGGAGAGAAGAGAAATATCCAACTAATGTGTAAGGGGGCAATTTAATTATAGGCAAAATGTAATTTCCCAAATTGGAATGGGTCAGGATACACGAGCATTAATATCTACATCTTCTAAAATATGCCATGAAGTGTTCTGAATATTGATGTGATAGCTCAAGCATTTCCTATCAGCGTCTGTTGAAGGACAAAAATACCTGAACTGACTAAATACATTCAGACCTCTCTCTCACATGCTGAATTTAGCTGGGAGGTGGCCAGATCTTTGGGGGGTAATATGTTTGGCACATTTACAAGGAAAACATTTTCTATAGTGAAGTAAGAGTATTCATATATGCAACAAGCCAGACTGTTTTCCTTCAATGATCTGTGTTAAGCATTGGAAATCCTCAAAGGCTCCTGACTACGGTCTCCAAGGATGCTGGGCGTCCTCATCCAAACTGAAACCTCACACGCACTCATCCTCCAGCACAGACCTGCCTGTTGCAGCCAAGCTGTGTTGCCTGTGTCCTGCCTCTACGCCAAGTCTGAAGACTTTCATCTGAGTTATCCTACTCAAACTCCCCAGGTCAGCTACTATCCACCAATGCTCCAAATCCTGTAAATCACTTCCCATTGAATATGGAGCGTTAAAAGTCAGAGAGAGGTTCCTGTGCTGACCTTGTGGGCAGATGTGTGGGCAGTGCCTGCGGCTGACTTTTGAGTACACCTGCAGATGTGGGATCCACAGAGAGGATTCCTGAGGCACCTAAATAAAGGAGAAAGGCAATCTGTCAACAAGAGTGGGACTCCAATTATTCACAAAGGGAAATCCAGGCCTTTCATCCCCTTGCATCTTTACTGCCACTTTCCTGCTCCACCAAGAGCACTGTTTGGAGCATCCCATTATGCTATGGTGGGGACATTGAGGAAGGCTGGTGTGTCAACATTGACATTAGGTGACTTCTTGCAACACTGCCCATAATCACACAGTTTATCATGCCTGCACCAGCAGCAACATTTTACTGGTGCACCTGTGTCAACACCACTCAGAATGAGTCACTCACCCTTGGTACGTGTACGAATTACCTTTCACATTTAGTTTGTCAAGGAGGCATAGGTCACATCTGGCAGAGTTACTGAGTCAGTGCTCCAGGAATCTGAAACCACTACTCCCTCTATTGAATTCACTCACCCACTTTTGCAAAAAAAAATTCTATTTTGCCAATAAAAACCTGTCAGCCATAAGATTTAAAGATTTGAGCTTGAAGGGGCTATAATTATTTCTCTAGGGCTCTGTCGAGATTTCTACAGCTTACACTTTCATTGTTCCCACATGACTTTGTATTTGTCATAATTTTTTCTAGAGCTGGTACAAGTTTTCATATTATTCCATACAAATTGAAAATTGGAGATCAGACAGTATATGCGAATTGTGCTTTAAAACCTGACTATCAATAATAAGAACAAGCTGGCTAAATGATTAATGCAGCGATTACAATGAGGCGTTTCATTGAAAAGCCACCTTTGTTGCTGGGGAGACAATACGACCTAATTTGTTTTCCAGCTAACTACATTTCTTAGTAGCATAGTGTTAACCCAGGTGATTTTCCTCTTTCTCTTACAGGACCTGAATGTTCCAGAAACTTTACTTCACCAAGTGGAGTGATAAAGTCCCCCGGATTCCCTGAAAAATATCCAAATAGCCTTGAATGCACTTACATTATCTTTGCACCAAACATGTCAGAGATTGTACTGGAATTTGAAAGCTTTGAGCTAGAACCCGATTCAAATACTCCAGGGGGAGCATTCTGTCGCTATGACCGATTGGAAATCTGGGATGGATTCCCTGAGGGTAAGAGAAAAATGGACTGTGATATGCATAACCATTACTCTGTAGTGGGCTGCAGAAGGCATATTCTCATTTTTTTAAATGTCATAGTAGAGAGGTCTTTGCTTGATTTATGTGAAATGAGTTGAATTAAAGAGAAATGGGAAAAATGCTCTGTAAATGTATTCAGTAATGCATATCAGAGTGTGAATGATTTTTTTTTTTTACAAAATATGTTTAATCTTGGATGGTTAGCTTGAGAGAAGCCTCTGTTTTTAGACGGAATAGGTGATGGGCCTCCTAAACTAAAATAAATGAAATATGAACCCTTATAATGAGTTCCCAGACTTTCACAGCTAACACATGAGTATTGTCCAGAAATTTCTAACAACTTGCACAAACTGGACTTCATGTACTAACCCTCCAGCTTGTGGAGAAACTGGGTTACTGACCAGCTGTTAAATCAGATGATTTCTTTGTCAGGGTAAACATGGTGTCCATACAATTGATATTGTAGTGACTAAATAATTACCCAGGTCAGTAAACAGTCATTGAGTTATTCATTCAGTTGTCTTCAGTGGCTTGGCACTGCAGGGTTCCTCCCTCATAGTACTGTCTCTTCTAGCAGTATAAGCAAATCCAAAGGTTTTATCTTAATTTGTTGATTTATAATCTCTGATTAGCTGGGCACATGTGTCAGAGTGGGCATGTTGGGTACCCTTCTTGAACTTACTTCTTGCCATCTCAGTAATTTTCTACTTAGTTGTTGACCACACGTAACCTTGTGCAAATTCACTAAGTGCATAGCTAGATGTTCGTAAAGCCTATAGAGCCAGTGAGCCCTCACTTCACCCACTGCCTGATCTTATATCTCGGTTTTATACTGACACTAATGAACAAAATAGCTGCATGATTTCTCTGGTTTTTATTCTTGTACAGCAATAGGTCTGCAAGATCCAAGTCCTCTCTCAGTAGGGCAGCCATGTACCACTTCTCCAGGGATCTCAGTGTGATAGGCTGCAGCTCCACCCTAAGAAGGACCATTCAAGCTGAATGCCTAACCTTTAGGGTGCCCACATGCCTATACAAATAGGGCTGTATACGTATATGCCTGTGCAAACAGCTATGTAAAACTGGCTGTTTGTGATGCCTCTTTCACTGTTTCTATGTATGGCATAAGCTGATAGAGAGAAGCATCTTGAAGCTGTCCTTTTACTTCTTAATTTTGTAACTTGTAGCAAAATTCAACGACTGAAGATTTATGTTGTTTATGTTGGGCACTAATTACAGTTATTTCAGTTTTCCACTGGTGTGATAACCCACATTAATAGATACTTTCTTGGCTCTTATGAACACCAGTGGCAGTTTCTACAAACTGCTAGTCCCACATTAATATTTCATTTAAATGGAAACATATAACTTAAGGAACATATTTTAATAACACATTTAAGCTTGTCTGTTTTCCTAGACAAAACTCCAATATAATTTTAATTAAAGCTTTTTTCAATGCTACATTAAATAGGTGTGTGCTTTTTAACATATATTGGGTTTTCCTTTTTGGTTTATGCTTAATGAGTTTATCATGGTTCTTTTCAATCCTCTCCAATAAATAGTGAAGAAAGAGCCATAACAGTAGCTGAAAGACTATTTAGTATTTAACGCCTCAGTTAGGAAAACAGTATTGTAGCACTACAATAATGATGTCTGGAACATTTAATAATAGGTTTATTTGTATATAGGCCAGATCTGTCCAAGCTGAATTCCTGCAGAACTTGCATTTAAACTGACATGTGAAAAGATGATCCAATCAATCAAATTATGTGTAATATTACTAAAAAGAAATGCATTATTGTTAGTGTCAGAGAGTTTCAAAGCGGTAATTTCCTGGTTCAAGAAAGTGACTGAGCCATACTGAAGAGCAATTACCAGCAGGCATTATTAGCCTTCCAATTCCCTCTCAAACTGCCTAAACCTAAAACGGTCCTGACATCCAATAAGGGCATTTAAGTGTTTGTAAATACTCAACTGAATTAATAGATGAGAAAGAAACGTTTCCCTAGATACAAAGTGTTGGAGGTTGTGGTGGTTGTAGGGAGATGTTTGCTGCATCATTACACTGTAGGACAATCTTAGCCAGCAGTCAGTTGTTCTTGTTTAACATAACACCACAAAAGCAGAGAGGATATGATTGCTTCTCTATAAATGCATCACAGGATGAGTCCCTGGCAGGGGGAACTATTTTAACCGAAGTGCAAAGATGACACAGGATACCATTGGTATGACCTGGCCATAAAAGATAGAAATTAAAAATGTAGATAGACATTTTTAAAAAAAGGAATGCAGAATAGGCATAATTTGCATCCACATGGATGTAGCAAATTTCTGAAAGGAATTAGATGGTATGGTTCCCTTTGTTGAAGAGAGGCTAACCAAGGGTGAGTCTTTCAGCCATTTGTCCATATCCCTTTAGTCCATGAAATAATATTCTGAAGGTGCATCTACACTATTAACTAAAGCAGAGCCAAGGCATGGTTGTGTATACTTCTTAATCATTGGCATACTCCCTTCCACAATTTTAGCCTGCATCAATTTACACTTTCCCAAGCAATTCCTAAGCATTGTTTGGAGGAGAGCGAAAGCTGGGAATCATTCCCAGCAGGCACGTGGGACAAGGTCATCCTGCTTCACAAGGAAGAGCCCTTGTTTGGAGGAGAGCGAAAGCTGGGGATCATTCCCAGCAGGCATGTGGGACAAGGCCATCCTGCTTCACAGGGAAGAGCCCTGTAGGAACAAGCTGTGTCACACTGTTAGTCTGGTCCCATGAATGCAGGTCCAGATGGTGGTCCCTGGCCTGCTCTATTTAGTGATAGGGTCATAGCCATTAAAAAAAAAAAAAAAAAAAAAAAAAACCAACACTATTTTGCTTTGGTGTAGTACTTTGCTGCTCATGTGCACAGTGTGTTAAATGTTAAAGCTGGTATTGCACTACACTGATATCAACATGAAGTAGAATGATTTTTTAAATGTTTGGGAAAAATGTATATCCTTCAGTTCAAGCCCCCTGCTCCATAGTGACACAGCTGTGGTTTGCTGGGATGATGGCAGTGTTTTAATAGGACATGGAGAGTAGTTTATGGAAAACAGTTGTTGCTGCAGGCACAGAATTAGATGGACAGCCTTCTGAACATGCTACTTTCACCCAGCTCTGGAAACCAGGCATCAGTGCTTGAGCCAGGCACTGTCAATCCCTCCATTCTCAGGACCCTACTCTGATCTGTCTCAGACATCTACTTTAAGGCATGGTTAATGGACCTCTGGAGGTTCTTATTGACTGTACTGGGAGCTGGGAGCTATGGATCACTAACTTTAAGATAAGTAAACTTTAGATACCTAAGTTAGAGTGGATGAAATTCAGCATAAGTGGAAAATGTTTTCACTGTAGAGTTTGATCATCTACGGTCACTATAGATTGCAGGAAATGAATCTGTTGTTTTCTACAGTTGTGATTTTTTTCTTAATCCCCAAAAGAAAGCAACAAGAAAAGAGAACTGTTCTCTTAAACAAATTTTCACAATGATATTTAAAAAGATATGTCAAAACCAGTATGCTTCCATTTACTTTTTGCTTTTACGTAATTGTCGTTTTTCTGATGGAAAACAGTTTTCTGTTAGACAATTTAACAGCAATTGTAACAGTCATGCACAAAGACGTTAATCCTGAAATGCTCTGTCACAATCATGGAGCCCTCAGCCTACCTGGTTGTTCTTTTAGGGGATTGAATCTGGCAAGTCCTGAGCACTTGTGTCTTGATTCTGTAAAACATGCTTATCTTTGAAGCATGTGAGCAGTTAGATTGACTTCAAAAGGAATTCACTAAGGACACTTAATGGGTCTGAAGTTAAACAGTGGTCTGAGTGTTTTGCTGGTTCAGGAGAGGAACGGTAGGCATTCCAGAATGCCTCGAACTTGGCATTTTGTTTCTGCATAACTGCATGCCAAGGGCACCCTTTGGTCTCTTCTTTAAAACAGAGCAAGAAGTGAAACAAACCCTGATGGAAAATATTCAGGAACTACAGGTGCGTTTTGCAAATATTGTGCAGGAGGGATATAACAGGTGAAGTTAGAGCAGGAGAGTAAATAGATCCCAGAATAGAAATATGTGATTTTGCATTAATAAACTACACAGCAAAAATATCTTTGCCCTAGGCACAAATATACCTCAGCCAGCCTCGGCTGAGACCAGTCCATTGATTACTGTGAGGAAAAATAGCCCACTCAAAATAAGGACTTGCTTAAGTGATGAATTGCACATATTCATCATGCAGCTCTCTTTGAAGCTCTATAGACTGTCTACTAGGGGCTCAAAAGTAATTTGAAGAAGTTTATATATGGTGTGAGAACCACAGGCTAAACATTGCTGCTTTGGTCAATACCACAAGAGCTTCCACTGAATTACAGAGCAAAACAGAACATTTTACTTCAGTCATTAACATCAGTGCAAATGAAGGTTGCTATTAATCTAACTGTTTTTCTCCTCTGTTGTGGTTGCCTTCTACACTCCTGTGAGGAGCTATTAAGATATAAAAGTACACAGAAGCTGAGTGTAGGTGACTGTGAGGAGGGGAATAATTTTTCAATTCTTTTCTCTTTAGCATCCTATATTGTGTGCAAATGTTTTGCCAGTAACAATCATACTGCTGTGAATATACTGTCCAAAGCACATCAACAGACCTTTAAAGAGAAACTTTAAAATTCAGTAAAATGGCTACTTAAAATTTCTTTTCATATTTTAGAAGTCTGATATACTATTTCTCCTTGCTTGTGCTTTGTTGGAGTTTTTCAAACAGAATTCCAAAAGCTAAAATTTCAACTGGATAGGAAAATGTATATTTCAATAAGTCTCAAAATTTCCTGATACAGATGCTCTTTGTCCAGAAGGACAAACAGTAAATAAGAAGAATTAGTAAGAATATGGTTTCTCTTTAGTCTTAAACCATCAGCCATATCCTATATGTTCCACAAGCAAATCTGTAAACCTTCAAACATATGTATTAAGAATAATCAAGGATTTATCCAAGTTCTAGAATTACACTCTGCATTTTGTGAAAATCTTGCAGAGCAGATTTCTTAGTTGCCCCTCCACCTTTTAACCTGAAAGTTACTCAGTTTTCCCCTGTTATCATACTATGCTAGTGGAAAGAGGAGCCAGGGTCCCAGAAACAGCTACAGCATCAGCAATCAAATGTAGTACCTGGCTCATCGAAATGCCTTTGTTCTGCAGGTAATGTAGAAGTGTCCTTGAGTGAGGACATTTCCAAGAGGCTCATAGTTGGAGTAGGTCTTCCTGGGGGATGCTGACAAAGTGGCATGATGGTCAACAGGCAGTGGCTGCAAAAAGCTTTCTGAGACTAATGACATTGCAATACCTGCTGTCCTAAAATTCCCACTTGGAACTGCATATGGTCTATTAGGGAAGCCCAGCTCAGTTCATAAGGATGGGTCACGAATATGATTAAAAAAAAAGCAGTGGCCTAGTCTACCTAAGCAAACAGCAGTATCATTATATCAATGATTGCTCCAATGGTGTTCCACACACAGCTTTTATTTGATGTGGTGACACATGGAACATTTGACAATTTATTGTTATTCAGAAGTTTTCAAAACTCGAATGGAAAAAAGGGGATCTTTGTCTTAGCTGTTTATGTAAGAATAGGAATCCCTATGTCATCCAGTTCTGCTCAGATCAGTACGGTATTAGCTCAGTGAGCTAAGCTTTAAATGTTGTGCAAAAGGATTCAATACCTCTTTCTGTCATATTCTGTAAGTTTTTGTCTCTTGCATCTGTATAGATAGCAAAGGGAATAGTAGTGTGACAGCAGGGCCAGTCTGTAGAAGACTGAAATAAAGAATCACTAAATATATCTTAAAAATTATAAACCAGTGAGTCATGAGGAATCTTAAAGCTTGTCTGCTTTAAACAAAGTTCTCTTCTGTCTGTCATTTCAAAGAGGCTTCCCTGCAGGAAATGGGAGGAGGAGGGCTCAAAGTGCCAGAACTTGGTGGCCTTACCCTCCTTATTTTCTTGCAGTTCTGAGCAACACCAGTAGCTATAATGTTGAAAGCCATCACAGCAAAGAGCAGCATCAGACCTGTTTGCGCATAGAAAATGCAAAAGAAAAAGGAAAAAAAAAAAAACTGCAGCAATTGGAGTGGGGGCAGTATTTTGTGTTTTTAAAAGGCCACTAATGATAACGGTCTAAAAGAACCTTCTCACTCCAAATAATAAATCTGTAGAGCTTTAATGACTTCTAGGAGGAGGAAGAATTAAACTCATATCCTCTATAGGTTGTTTCAGTCTATCAGTGCTGCATTGAATAATCCTGGTGGAAAAGGGCTTAACTGGCAGGTATTTTAAATGCCATGGAATTGCCAAGGCAACTGAAGATTGACTATGACCAGAATACGCATAGGAAAGTATATGCTGGCAGCAAGAGCTGTAACATCTGAGCTCTCTCTTTCTGGCAGCTCTAGGGCCTTACAGAAATGTGTAGCTTACATAATAAAGTTATTCCAAGCTGGAACTGTTTTACTTGTTGGAAAATGCCAATAAATGAGTACAAAATTATGTTAGCTGAGGATTTTCTTTGAACTGTGAATAATTAGGATATATAAACATTTTATATTTTAAACTGAAAGTGAAATGGACTTCCAAGAGAAATGACAAGGTGTTAATTTATGCCTGGAAAGCCAGTGGTGTGAGCATTAGAATGATGTCTTACAATTATTTTCATGATTGACTCCATGGATGGGTTTTAGCATTACCTTCTCTTCTTGTTTGTAAGCACAGATGTACCACTATTCAACAGCCTAGGGACCTATCTGTAGGGAATGCTCAAGTGCTAGAAGGCCACATATGTTGGTTGTGAATTGAGTAGCTTAATTAAGGAAAAAGATTATCTGACTGCCCAGGAAATTCAGAAAAAAATATCAAGAAGTGGTTTATACATTATTAACACCGAGAGAGATCATGTATGTGTGTATGTGTTCATGTTCTGTGATATGGAGATATACCTAAGAAATCTTTGCTCTTTTGAAAGGATTAAGATTTTCCTCTTTAATTCTTATACAGTATTTTTTAATATTAAGCATATGTGCAAAAGATCTACGACAGTATGCTGAAAGCCTGAATAGGGGAGGATAAAGAGCCATTTGTCATAGCTTCAATATGAGTGAAAAAATGTTTTTCTAAGTTTGCTATAAAAGTAACAGATTATCTGTAGTGTTGAGCATAAAATCTGGAAGGTGCTGTTTGAACTCAAATTCCCAGAGCATCTTGGAGACTGTGCAGGCAAATCAGGCCATTCATATGTCCTTGTCATAAATAGGTGCTTCAATCACACTTTGGAAAATACTTCTGGTGTTTTGAACAGTGATTTTGTCTATCGTTGCTCTCTCTCCACACTTAAATGGACACTTTTTGAAATCCTGGTCCTTGATGTTTTCAGAGGTTTTATGGAGTGCTATGTGGAACATTTAGAAGTAAGATTACTAGGGTTAGGATCAGCCATTTATTGTTCACTGCTAAGTTATTGATGAGACTGTGATTTTGAATGGTTGTAGAGGTTCACTACTGCCTGCTGAGGGACTGTCTTTAGGAGGCTATTGTGGTGGTATCTATTGTTGGAGTAGAACTGGTAGTTTACTATTGTGTCCTGTCTTTTTGCAGTTGCCCCACACATAGGGCGTTATTGTGGGCAGAACAACCCAGGACGTGTCCGGTCTTCAACAGGGATTCTGTCAATGGTATTTTACACCGACAGTGCAATAGCAAAAGAAGGATTCTCAGCAAACTACAGCGTGTTGCAGAGCAATGTATCAGAAGGTCAGTGTTTATCTATCCCACAGAGCTTCTTGGAAAATATTCTTTGTTATGTCTTCTAGCACACCAGGTGTTGCATGAAACTTTAAAGAAACCTTAAATAAATAAAATGCTGGGGAAGGGCTGGTTCTGTTTTGATTTTTTCTTCTTTCTTTCTCTTTTTTTTTTTTTTTTTTTTTTTTTTTAGAACAGCTGCCCTTTGAAAGGCAGTGCAAGAGGCAGGATAGTCCTTACAGTTTTATTCCACACTATTGCCAGGAAGTTGGGATAATTATTGTGAAAAACTGTGCTGACCAAGGAAATGCAGAAAGGCAGGAATGCAGAGCAGTTGAACAGTTGCATTAAAACAATGAAACATGAACAATGAATGCACTATCCAAATCTGCCTTTTATGACATGGAACAAGCTTTGATGATCAATTTCTTGAATAAAAAGAACCTATTTAATATATGTTCTCTTGTTAAACTGTTTCATAAGCTATTTAAACTTTTTTCTGTGTCTCGTATTTTTTTCCCAGTTGCCTCATTTTCATGTTTACCCTTTGGACAGAGAATGAAACAAAGTGAGGGATACTCAGGAAAATAATGGGCTGTGTTACACCATGTCCTTGCAGATTTCCTTCCTTTGCTTGATGATAAAACACACACTTTAAATCAAACTCTTTATCCTTTCTGCGAGTTACTGAGTTTTGAGCAAATTAACCCAGATTTGAGGTACTTACTTAGTCAAGGAACAAAAGAAAAATGAGCAAACTGAAATTATCCCTGTTACTCCCCACATGTCCTCTGCCCTTGCCTCTTTAATAGCTTTCTTGTACATGCAGAGCCAGAAAGAGGGAACAGGACATACCAATCCTATCCATCTCTCTTGGATTGTACCTTCAGGTAGTCTGGCTTTTCCATATGTAGTTGCTGCTTCTACACTTTCATTAGCTAGCACAGGCAACTAGAGTCCCCACATCCATCTCCTCCACAGTCGTCCTCCTTGGGCTGTAGAGGCATCATCACACTGGAGCTAGAAATGTCTGCTATGCTGGGATGCCTTCAGCTCTTAAACACAGGACAACAGAACAGGAGAAGTTAGTGTGTGTGAAAACCCTTTTGGATTATAAGAGGAAACTTTTTCTATTATGCAAGCTTAGACAGAGGAGTGATACCCCTCTCTTAATTTCAGCCACACTTGCTCTTTGTGTTGTCAATACAGAGAGGGTCACCTCCAGAGGACAGCTCAGCCTACTTATCTCAGACATGTGAGCTGTGCCCAGGAGGTATTTGCCCCTCAGAAGACTACAGGGAAAGCCCACATGTCTAGATCAAATTAGAAACTTACTTTTTAGATATTTTAATATAACTCCACTTACCATGTCTTGAATTTATGTTGTAGTTTATGGCTCTCCTGATTCCAAACAGAAGTTAATTTACTTTGACCTTTACCCTAATGTAGTTCAGCGTCAGGACTTCACTCAAGGTCCCCAATAAGCTGAAGCTACACAGAAATGGGTGAAAGGGCGGTGCCCCATGGGAAATGCAGTTTGGCAACAAGTTTGATAATTAAGTTATGGGGCACCCTAACTACAAGTCCGATAAGGCACTCGGATAGCATTTCTGAATAGAAATTTTTGGATCCCAGATAAAAGACTTAAACATTTTTTTCTGAATATTTTCATTTTCAGTGACAAATCAGAAGCTTAGGCACATGTTTTTTCCTCATGCCCTTGCAATGGGGTGGTGAATTCTGACAGGGGACTGCATGAGCAGCTGGATGTGAAGATCTGTCTAAAGTCACTGAACTCTCTTGTGGGGACTGGAGCCTTTGTTTTTGAAGAGTGAAGGAAGAATTTAGTCTCCATGCCCTATCAGCCTTTGAAGTCAATATAGTAGCTAGGGTGTCAATTGATTCTAAATTATCTAGGTAATTTTTGTGTCAACAAAAAGAAATTGGATGGGCATGATAAACTCATTTGAAATACAGCACATTACAGAAGAGGTGATAATTCCCTTTGGTCAATAATCTTCTGGCCTGGATTCAAATTGCGTTGATCTGTTTTTTTCCAGTGTCCAGGATACAAAGATCTGGACAGATTCTAATGGCTAGAATTTTCTAATATTTTTGTAACACTTTACACTTTTTGTACCAATATAAATAGGGATTTTTAAAAAATAATTTTATATAGTCATCTGTTTTGTCTTTCTTGGTTTTGTGCATAATTATGAGCGGAACACAGATTGATTTATATTACAGGTTTATTCCACAGAAATGCCTGTGCTACACTAGAAAATAGAATTCTACTGTCCTATACTGAAATGGTTACAATACTGGGCTAAAAATATTTGTATAGCATTATTATTGCACAAATTGTCATGGCAACTTGAATGAAAGTATTAAGAATGACACCATAAGCCCAATACTGCCTCACTTAAATTTGCTAAAGAATTCAAAGTCACGTAAAAATATATTCCTTAGATATTCATATTCAAAGCAGGAAAATGTTCTCATTATTCAAAGTCCAAATCAAAAAGCTGACCATAATAATGATGGTAATTTATTTTTCTTCAGATTTCCAGTGCATGGAACCACTAGGTATGGAGTCAGGAGAAATTCACTCTGATCAAATCACTGTCTCCTCTCAGTACAGTGCTATGTGGTCTTCAGAAAGGTCCCGGCTAAATTACCCTGAGAATGGATGGACCCCAGGGGAAGATTCTGTAAGAGAATGGATACAGGTAAAAAGATAACATTTTAAAGATATTATTAATAATACTCTGTGGAGTTTATTGAATGTGGAGAATGCAAAAGAAAGAAAAAAAAAAACTAAACCACAGTAAAGTACTTCTACATAATCTAAGAATCACTGCAAGTGAATAGCTCACATTCCCTATTAGACACACAAAAATAAAGACTGGCTCCCAAAGGTATAAGAAAAGAAAGGTCAGGAAGATTAATTCTTTTGCTTCCCACATCTATTGTTTTTTCAGTCTTCTGGGCACAAATAACAGAGATTTTGGTTTAGTGGAAAAGTCAATATTAGTTTAACATGCACTTAAAGTGGAATGTCCCAGTAAAGTGAGCATGTGCGATGTCTCTAGCTGATTACAGTTAAGCATTAATATGGCATGGTGTTTTCATGCTCTCAGATTTCACCTCAGAAGACCTGTGTCTCTTCTAGAATATGTTACGCACGAAATGAGTTCAGTGGTCTCTGCCTAGTGGCTACTCTTCCACATTGTTAAACACAACAGTCATTAGCCAAGATTGGCTGCCTTTTCTTTGCTCTGTTACTAAAGAAGAAATCATGCAAACATTTGTCACCCTGAAGAGACTCCTTGAGTTCAGTCAGTCTGCTTGGGCTTGTTGACTGATAGTTGTTATCAGATCCATAGCTTAAGGGCACATAATTCCTGCACAGGTTAAAATTATTTATATGAATTACTGTATACAAATAATCTATACTATCAGGCAAGTCTTCATATCAGTAGGTGAAAAAAACACTGAGTTATATCAGTTGTAGGTTGACTTACACTTCTTAGTTGTAACTGATTATTTTCCTGTTGGTAAAAGCTAAGAGAAAGGCTTGAGCATATTAGATCAATAGTACCAATACTGAAAATTTGTTCATATATTTGAAACATTCCTCCTGCTTCTGTTGTTTTCTATAGGAAATTACTAACTGACATATAAAAACAATGCCTTATTAGCCATCCATATGAGTGTTCACGTTGGTGTTTCCTGTGAGGTTTGCTGTCTACGAAAAAGCTTAAAAACATGTTGAGTAGTAGTTAGTAAAGAAGTGGGAGTGGGAAATCTTTAATTTCTGATTCTTGGCACACAATGGGACTATCAGGTGTCCTGCTTAAGGGCTTCTACACATCCTGAATTCTTGGCAAGGTGGTAATTGTGTATGATGGACCTAATCAGACTTCAGAGTGGCAAAAAAAAACTGTTGATCCCTTTTCCTTACTTAGGAATAAATGTTAAAATCTCCTCAGCCTTATCTAAGCGCAAGGGTTTTTATTAATCATTGCCACTTGCAATCCATGGAATGCACATGGAGAAAGAGTGGAATGAATCCATGTGTTTCATCTGGTCAGAGAGCCAACACTTTATTTCCTTCTTTTCTGCTGTCATTTATGCATTTATGACTGGATAATCAAAACAAGAGAGCTGGTCAAATCTCATTCATGTGTTCTGCGTGCTTATTTATTAAGTTAGATGACTGCATACATATATATATATAGCTTAATCCTCTTACTTAGAACTAGATCTTTCTGAGAAAAAGTTTCAAAGGACTTTTTTTAACATTAACTTTTAATAACAAACCCGCTGCAGAATCTAAGCTACTCAGGGGTTAATGCTTAAAACCGCTCAGGGTAGATCAGGCCTCCTGCCCATGAATTTCTCAGCCTCCTTTGCCTTCTGACATAAACCAAGGTGCTCAGGGGCTGAAACAACCACTGAGCATTTTTTTAGCAGCTTTACAGTGCCTCCAGCTACCACATCAGCCAAGAAGTTGGTGGCTATTTGTATGCTGTGCTGCCCACAGCACAGCTCTCACCTACTTTACACAGCCCCTGCTTTGGGAAAGGCAGAATGAACCATTTCCCTGAGCATCTCCTTGCCTGGCTAAGGCCTGTTTGAGGGACCAGCAACCCCACAGCAGACTTCATGACAGAGCAATTAGGCTGTACCAGCATTTGCTGCAGAGCTGGGTCTTGTTTGCAGGACTGAGGCGACGATGTCTTGCTTGAAGATTTGTTGCACTGAACAGGTGCCCTTAACACATGTTGCAGGAGAACTGTTAATTGTTTCTACCACTCACCTATGTAGCAGAAGCAACCCGGCTAGTCTGGAGACTGAGTGTACCACCGCTGGCTTTTAACAAGGTACAATGATTTGATTAATCTTTGGTTCCATTTGTGTCAGGAGGATAGTCATTCTTATTTATTATGGCCTAATTCAATACTAACATAGCTAATTCAAACTTCCAAATGTATTCTAAATGCTTGCCTATTAAAATTAATTGACAGACTTAAGATGGGTGCCAAGTGCTTCAGACCATCATGCACCTCAATAACAGAGTCCTTGTGCATATGAACTGCCATCTCCTACAAAGTCTCAATGCCATTGGCAGTAAGCACATGTTCTGAGTTTGTATCTGGATAAAATATTGAAATACCATGTTTCCTCTGTATAAATATCCCCAGGAACAGATGTTCATCTCCATAAGAGCTTACAGACAAACAGCCAAGGACATGTAACTGATAAAATACTCTGAAATTACCTGTTAAAAAAAAAAATAATAATAATTGAATATTTTATACAAGTAGGAAGGCTCTTGTATATGAAGGACAGAGATCACTTTGTTCTGTTTTGTTCTGTATGCTATTGTAAACTAGTCATTTACGTGAAGTATTTGCTTTTGTGCAGTACAGCATAAATGGATTTTTGTTGCACAGTGCAAGACCTCTAGAAAATATTCAACAGCAAAAAAAAAACAGTCTGAAGGATACAGCAGTGCTGAACCTGGAACTTTTAAAGTGAAAATTTCTGCTTTTATGCCCTTGTCTGGGAGACAAAGATTTTGTATATATCAGTGTTGATTAATCTTTTTACAATTGCAGATTTCCATACCTGCACACACACTGCAGCTGGTTAAGTAGTGATGTCTGCCTTCAAACTGTGAATACGTATATGCAAGTATGGCATATATATACATATATGACATATGTGTAATTATACATGGGCAAAGCAGCTTGAAAATTCAGCTCCAAATACTAATTTCCTTAGTGTATCGGGTTTTTTTATGGGGGAACATATTACAGTTCTCCTTTCCCTTACTTGTACCACTCCCGTCAAGGCTAATGTTTTTGCTAAGACAAAAGAAACAGAAAGTATGAGCAAAGGGAGATTGGTATCTATAGAGGACGTCTAGAGGGCACGCGATATGATTGTCTCCTTTGAGGTGTTGACGTCTTTCAGACCATTTGGCTGAAAAGAATTAGGAAAATAATGTTGGCTTGTTGCTAGTAATGGATTTGCATGCATTCCATCTGTGGATGTGGAACCCATTCTTGGTGGAGAAACTAGATTGCTCCTTTGTGGCTGACAAGGTACTAACTCCTGAGTTCATCCATTCCTTTCTTTAGTTGCTTGGAAATAAATGTCAAAGCTTAGACTCAAAACTTCCGTAGCACTGTCACACCATAAGTCTGCACAGTACTTTCTCCATTTTATTTTTACTCTCAAACACACTTTTGAAAATTGCTCAACTAACTTGAGATTTGGAGTGACTCCCTAATCAGAAACAGAGTCACTCCAGATTGAATTTCTTCTTTAAAAACACATTAATAAAGCCTGTGGATTTTGCAATATGAATGCAGTAAAGATATGCATGAGGTAAGGGCTGCCAAAAATAAGCATGAAGTTAGTTTATTGTCATATGGGATGTTATTAGCTCCTCCAAGTTAAACTCAGCCTACTTGTTTATTACTCTTACGTTTCACACTGTCAACTGCCCTTCAGTGTGAAACAGCATAATTTAAAATAAAAAGTAAAACCAGCCCTTTAATTTAATCAAGGGCAGGGAACTGCCATTGTATAAGTCATTGTCCCTCATTAACGTATCCTTTCACAGGAAAAATAGTATAGTGTTTCTATTTCTGTAATCTGAACAACAAACATGTTAATAGGTATCAACTACCAGCCAGTTTCAGTACTTCGAACCAGTAAGAAGGCCAGTGCGAGGGTTTCACATCTGGTTTTAGTGAAACTGTTCCTGTCTGTGGTATTTAAAATTTAAAGAACTCCTGTTATTGTGCAATTGGGAATCCTAGGGGAGTACAATGTTAATGAAACCCATAATGTGCAGGGATTTTATGATTCCATTTTCAAGGCATTCCTTCAAATGAGATGACTGATTTCTGCCATGGCAGCAGTAATTGTGTTTTTACAGAGTAGATTTAATGCTTGCGTTTAAGCACAGCAGTTACATTTACACTCAACTGAAAAAGCAACACGTGGAATCTTCACAGTTAGGGAACTTTTCGCATCTTATGTCTGGAGTCTTTGAGCAGAAGATGTGTGCTGTGCATGGCAAGCCCTTACACCTCAGGGCCCGCCGGTGGGTCATGGCCAGCAGCCCCCCAGGGCAACAGGGGAGTGAGGGAAGCTCCAGGAGGAGTGCCCAGCCAGATAGGTGCCATCAGCTAAGGACACTTGAGGCCCACAGGCGTGTGGTTTTGGAGGGAGACTGATTGCCTGTTACCAGGGTCACTGGGAACCTGTGCTGTCATCAATCCTCATAATGGTGTGGGTTTTCAAACCCACAAGGAGCAACACCTTCTGGGTAATTTTACTGCAGAATCTGTATGCTTTCTATAAAAATATTTCTTCTAATGCATATAACACAAATCTTCACGCTACCACCAAGCTGGATGATAGTTTCTGGATGGCACAATTTTTCTCTCATGCTGTAACACTGGGCAAGACCTCCAGCTTGCCCAGAAAGAAAAGTATAGTTGTTAATAACATAAGATCTTCAGTTCATATTATGGCTGGGGTTGGACAAAACCATACATCCAGCTTGAAGAACCCTAGTATCAGATTAAAACTTTGCAGCCATAAACCAAAAAGCACTACTCTGTTATAAACACACAGCCAGTTCAAATTTATTCGAAGAAAGGTTAACAGAGCGGTGACATAAATAGAAATTATACTCCGGATTTGG